CACATTATATGTAACTATGTTTATAAACTATATTTTACCAAATAAAATAATTTCAATTCACAAGTTTCGTGATGTCTGAACTAGAACCATTCACGATTATTTCACAAAAGTAATTTTATTTGACTTTGTACGACGGATAAGTATCCGTTGCATTTTTCTGTAATTGGTGTAAATACCTGGTCAATACGGTAAGCAATTGAAACGACTGGTCTTTGTAATTTCTTTGAGACTCCACTGAGATAATATTGCAATTTTGATATTTGTTATTCTGCTAAAATCTAGTTGCAATAGTGTCAATGGAATGGCAGTGATGACATTCGGACATTCAATCACTAACGATCGATGTTGCCATACTAAAACTACCTCGGAAATTGCTACGCATATCATAAATTTTATCTTGTTTAATCAGCAAAATAGTCTTCAAAGTAAATATACTTATATAATTAATACACTACGCCATCGACGAGCAGAATAGCAAAAAATTGCAATGGCAATTGGGAAGTAGCTCAATGGCCAATCACTTACAAGCCACTATCATCTTAAGTTTTAGCAGAATCGTCATTATCATATCAGCCGGAAGACATCCACTGTTGAATAGTTGTCCAGAATGTATTTAGGCCTTCCCCAAAGATTTCTAGACTAGCCGATCGGATGCGACGTGCATCCATCGGTTACTCGTCTCCCTTACCAGGTCATCCGTCCATCTCATAGGGGGCTGTCCCACTGAACGCCTTCTGATTCGCGGTCTCCATTCGAGAACCTTTCAGCCCCAACGGCCGGCAGTTCTGCAAGCTATGTGCCCTGCCCACTGCCACTTCAACTTGCTAATCCTTGGAGCTATGTCGGCGACTTTCGTTCTTCTACGGATCTCTTCATTTCTGATTCGATCACGTAGAGAAATGCCAAGCATTGCTCGCTCCATAGCTCGTTGAATGGCTGAGCTTTTTCATGAGGCCCATCATAAGTGACCGCGTCTCATAGACGTAGGTCATCACTGGCAACCAGCAAAATACCCAATGTAAAAATCCTGTCATTGACACCATCGACACACAACTGAGATGATTTAAAATAAGCGAACTTGAACCCCAGGTCCCCCGCCGAGCGGAATTTGCAACATCTGCAATTCAGGAGTCAATAAACCACCGGCCGAGCACGCAGTCTCTTTACAGCGCACTTATGCCGGCGACTCTCGACCCAACTAATCAGAAGTTTCCCGGACTCAGAAGATTTATATTTATCGCGCAGGTTAAAAAAAAAAGAAACTTTGCTAACGTTCTCTGAGTTTAGAATACTGGCCGGAGTGAGCGCTCCTGTACAATTTACGCTTCAGTAACATTTTTAAAAAGTAACTTTAATTTATTATAAGTTACGCTCAGGGAGCTACGCTAACTGTTAAGAATAAGATTATTTACAATGTTTTGTTGAATAAAAGTATTTAATAGCCAACTTCACTCTAGTAAATATATTGTTTGCTTTATAATGGTTAATCAGGCAGCCTTGTAATTTGACCCGTAAAGAAATCGATAAAACCCTTCAGGGAATGAACACTTCAGTATCAGGCATCATCATAATTCAAGATTCGCTTGTTTCAATAGTACCTAGAAAAGAATAGGTAATGTATTATTTGAATGCATAAACAGGGCATCGTTTCTCAAGTCGAACCAAGAAAATGTAGTCAGCTAAACTTTTCATTTGAATATTTCCATGTACAAAATTAGTTTTAAAATATGAAGTGCTAAAACGCCGTCCCAGCTCTACTGCTGCTGGCAGGAAACATTCGGCGTGATTACCGGTAAAAAGGTTAAAGCTCCGCGTTGCAATTATCTAATGGCAGTGGACAAGCTGCTGAAAATTGTATTGCTCCGGTAGGGATTCTCTCTACTAAAGTCATAGGTTATCGTCGTTAAACACAGGATTTTCGGGACCGGCGTACAAACTGAATTTTTTGAAGTAATCAATTTCATCTTGTACTCCAACAATTCATTTTCGATTAATAGAAATCCACTTGGGAAATTCGATTTACAATTTTCAGAAGCCTTGGTGATTGTATTTGAGAAAGTTGGCCAGAAATTCTTCACGTCATTTGTTTCGTACTTTCCTAGGCAAAAGCTGTGCAGTTCATTACTGCTCTTCGAGAACAGCACAAAATCTCGACGGAACAATGCAAAATATCATTGCTTGAAGGCTATAATAATGTTTAAGAGACAATTAGATGAATTGCGAGATACATTCCGTCTATTTCCCGCTCAGAACTAAATTACATAAGCCTCTTGAATGCGGGGGAGGAGGGCACCCCTACAATACGGGGCGTATCGAGCGACGGGCTACTCACTCTTTCACATCGCCATGTCCTTGTCCAACACACTGACGTGTTGGCTTACCCCTGCTGTGCGTTCATGTCGCGGCATCTCTCCTTGTATCCCATTCACTGGTAGTTAGTTCGCGTAACAAAATAAACATTGTACGTGAAGCAGCGATGTAGGCAGCACAAAAAGATGAGGCTCAATGGCATTGATTTGAGTTGTGCCATCTGCAGGCCATTGTGCTGGCCATACACAAATGTGAGCAGCAATATTATGACAGTTTATAGAATGCCTGATTCAATCAAAACTACCTATGTTATGTTTATCTTGGACAGTTTTGTCTCTTAGGAAATGGCGAGAAATGTTTTGCATGTATATTTCAACTGTTGTACAGTAATGCAAAAACGTACTTGACAAAACCTAGTATAATAAAATAATAATATAATAAAAACATGCATGTATGTATCATTCTTACATAGTAAATAGGTAATCTATAACCTACAACATATTATCATTACTATGTATTATTACTACAGTAATACGTTAGTCACTTCATAACTACATCAAATAGCTAACAAACCATTTCCTTCAACCGACTTGTAGATAGCAAATAGAAGAATAAAACGAAAGAATCATTTTGTCAGTTTCTCGTACCTCTCATTTCGAGTAGGCACGAAAACAGAAATAATTACATAACAAACCGTAATTATACCTTTATTTTATAACTAAAACAGGGTCTAAATATTATATTATAGTTTTAATTGCCCCAATATGGTGCTTGAAGAATATAAAAGGGATTTTGTCCAAAAATGGAGTTATGAGGTTTCCAAATTTAGCCTATAAATTTTAATATCAAAAGAAGAGTAGATGATCTGTCTTGACCGAATCAAAATCATTACAAGTTTTATTGATTGGATTTTTTTCCTGTATTTCACAAATATATTCCAGTCAATAACAATTTTCACTTTGTTACTTGTTTTGTTTTGTTTTTTTTTTTATGAAACTTAAACAAGATATTTCAAGAATACTGAGTTCATACAAAGAGAGCCATAAATATACATAGTAGATCTTTGTAACTCTTGTAATTTTAAAAATACTGTAAACACAAAAATCATGTCATTTATTAATCTTGGAAAGTTTTTTAGATATTGCGTTAAAATGTTAAATGTCGATTAAGAATCGACACAATTTCAAATGGCTTTCGTTGATTCTATATAAAGCACTGAAAGTGTTGTATCGTTCACTTTGGATAAAATATATACTAAGATTGAGGACATACACTGATTAGTGTGAGAGCAGGATTTCTAAAAATTTTCATAATAAAAAAAACACAAACTTAGCTCTAAATTTTATAGGAAAACTGCTGTATTCAATGAGTACTTTATATATACCAATGTTTTTATGTCAACTGAACTAAATAGAGCACATACAGTATACAAAATATACATTTTTTCAAATGGCTTTAATGTCGTTGGTAAAAGAATTAATTCTGAAATAAAGCCAGTGTCCCTGCTGCTCGACACGCACAGTGATACCGATTCAGTATGGGAAAAATTTTAATTCAAGCTGAGGTAGTAGCGGCTCTTAAATATTTATTTAAAAATGTAAGAAGTGTTAGTTTTGAAAGAGAAACAGTTCATAATTTTTTTTCTTTTACTCATTAAGGTTGGCTTGGATCGACAAGCTGAATTTAGTTCAACTTTAGATGCGACTCTTGACTCATTTTATCAAATTCTTCACGACTTTCTAAAACTTAAATTAGAAAAACTGTAGCTTAAAACGAGATGAACTTAGTATGTTCTCAAAAGTATCTAATTCATCGCGCGTTGTATCTCGATACCAGATTTAGTACAAGTTAAATTATCTATTGACCACAACGTGATTTGAGGTTCTTGTCATACAGTGACGTTTTATGCATGGAAATAATCGACCTTCCACCTTCCTGCTGCAGCAGATGCTAACAACATTTACAATAAAGTTCAATAAATTCAAAAAGCCATTTGATCATTTTGACATTCCACATTTAGTTACGACTATATACTGTAATTACTCACCGAATGTAGTCCGGTTTGATCTCCACCCGAAGCGGCGAGGTTGTTGTCGCAATAACACTGTATTTCACGAGATAAATTACAGCCAAAACTTGAATTACCTACTCAAAATTTTTGGAAAGAATAATGTCCACAGAGCAGTGAATGACGGATTTTGACGTTTACACAAATAAATATTGCCGTTACAAAAAAATAAACGTCAAGAAAAATATAATGTCATTGCCAAAATATTATTGCCATTAGAGGACCTAAAATATTACTAAATAAATAACGCATACTTCACATTAATAATTAAAATTTGTGCGATCTTTTTTTAGTTGTACATCTATCATTTTGGATCGGTTGATTCTCTCTGAAAATGTTGTGGTGAGTGACGCGCAAAGTATTAACGATAACAGATTACATCTTAACTTGCCACTCTTAGGATCTTGTAATTTGTATGCTGCCAACGCTACGCCTGATATTATTAGGCAGCCTCTATAAAACGAATACCAGTTGTTTTCATCACAATTTTAACTTTCGTGACATGATATTGTAAAATAGCTATGCTGCTACTTAGAGGATGGAAAAAAATAATGATGCTATTGGTAACAATAACCTTATTTACCGGAAGTTATGTTTTGTCTATGGTAGAAAATGACACGCCGGCCGACGCCGGCCATCTTCCTTTTGCTGAAAGTGAGGTGATCGACGCCATTACGTGACGAAAATAATCTGCGCCGCAAATATTTTTTTCAGTGATTGTGTTGTGGTTAATTCATAAATAGTGTTAGTTTTAGTGTATTTATAGAAGAATAGGTAAGTAATGTTTATTCTGGTTTGGCACTTGAAAGTTACCCTCGGTTCGACATGCGAATTTTTGTTCTCCATTATTCCATGGACGCTGCTGACTCATTTCGTCAAATTCTGTATGCGTTTCAGAAACTAAAATGCCGGGCGCCGGTACTTTCAAAATCTTCGTCGGGAATCTATCCGATAAAACTACAGATGCCGATCTCAGACCGCTATTCGAAAAATACGGTACCGTCGTAGAATGCGATATCGTCAGAAATTACGGTTTCGTGCATATGGAAAACGAACAAGTCGGTCGCGAAGCTATTCAGAACCTGAACGGCGAGCTGGTTCATGGGCAAGCCATCAAAATAGAAGCGGCGAAGAGCCGCAAGGCGCCCTCGACACCCACCACCAAAATATTCGTCGGTAACCTGACGGACAAGACGCGCGCGCCCGAGGTCCGCGAGCTGTTTCAGAAGTACGGGACGGTCGTGGAATGCGATATCGTGCGTAACTACGGATTCGTGCACCTGGACGCGACTGGCGACGTGAACGACGCCATCAAAGAGCTGAACGGCATGATGGTGGACGGGCAGCCCATGAAGGTGCAGCTGTCGACCAGCCGCGTGCGCCAGCGCCCCGGGATGGGCGATCCCGAGCAATGCTACCGCTGCGGCCGCGGCGGCCACTGGTCCAAGGAGTGCCCCAAGGCCCTGGGCCCTGACCGCAACGGCTTCCGCGATCGCGCGTTCGGCCGCGACCCGTACCCTCCGCCGCCGCCGCCGCCCTTCCTCCGCGATCGCATGATGGGAGGATTCGGGGTAACGCGCTTCTCTATGTTTGTTCCGCCGGTGCTCCGCCGCTATCGATGCATCACGTAGGCCGAGCGTGGACACTCTCTCCGCACGCGGTACCTAACCTCGGGCCGACTTAAGACTCCGGGCTCGGTGATGCTACAGTTTACCTACCGATAACTAAACCGTTTCGATCTTGAATCAAAAACAAAATCCCCAAGTCCTAATTTTTATTTGCAATTTATTTTCCAAGTTAATTTTCTTTTTTATGATTTCATTTCTACGATCTCAATTTCAGGAATGTACTTTGTCATTGACATTTGAGATTTGACTTCGCCCGTCCTTTGCTGAAACTAATGTGATTGTGTGTGGCAGGACCCGTACGATGGATACTACGATCGCGCCCGGTTCGATTCCCCGCGCGACCTGTTCGAGCGGCGCTACCCCGTGGGAGGGTCTCGCGGGCTCGAGATGGGCGCGTCGCGCGGCGCCCGCGGGGATTTCGCGTCGCCGCCGCTGCGCCGCGAGCCCATGCCGCCAATGCCGAGTCTGCCGCCGATGCGCAGCGCCATGGGATCCATGAGGTCGTCGTATGATGCTATGTTCAGCCGAAGAAGCCCCCCGCGCGGGCCTCAGATGTCGCGGGGGTGAGGGTTAATTATGACGCGATTGAGTTGTTACTAGCTAGTTTGGTGTAGAACAAGTAGATACCATCTCTTAATTTCTCTTACGTACTGTTGTCATGTAACAGCTAACAAGTAGTACTTAAAAAACTAAATCCTGATAGATAAATCATTACAACCGCACTAACCATGTGTAGGGTAGTAACATGTACCATTTTGAAGGTTTATTACCTGATGTACAATTTTTTATTTACAGAATGTACGAGGACTTTAGTCGAGACACATTTGATGACAGGAGGTAAATATCAATGTATCATGTCAGTCAATGAACACTATGCCAACTTAATTTTTGGACCTGTTCTGTTTTTATTTTGTTTCTTAGTTTTTTTTACAAAATTCGTTTTTTATTTTTTGAATTTTGTTTTTTGTTTCTTTTTTGTTCACTAAATTCGGGAAGCATAACATTACTAAATAAATAGGTAGGTAAATACAAAAATAACAGAAAATAACCATAATATAAACTTGGCATAGTGTTTATTCGAGGTATTGATGAGTGTTTGTTTGGGAGGAGAGAAGATTTCTAAGTCTGATATAATCCACATAATATAAGAACACCACAATCTTTCATACTTTTAATAAAATTACAAATATGAAGAGGATAATAATGTGGGTGTGAATGAGCTTAGCCATAGTAAATAATTTTTGTTTATCGACATCTTATTATATTGGGAGTGATTGTTTGCAGTATCGCAATATTCTATTTGCCAGTAGTTTTTTGTCATTAACTTCAGTGTTGTCCACAGGCCCGGGATGCGCGGCCCCTCGCCCTCCCGAAGGTACGCTCCCTATTGAGACGTAAAAAACGGAGAAAATTTGTTGTGTAACAGTAACACGTCAATCGTTGAATTTTAGTTCAACAAATATTTAATTTTTATACATAGACTTATTATTATTAGTTAAGGAGTGACTGACTGCGATTTCCATAGATTAGTTATGTACGATTGGTGTCGAGAATTTGTGATGGAATGGATTGTAAATAAGTAAAATAAATCTCATTTTAAGTACATTTCAGTTTTTTTTTATTAATTAAGATTAATTAACAATTACCCTGCATTCTAAACATGACTTATGGAACCAATGATTTTATACTTTATGGAACGATCTCGTGCGATAGGAAAATGTAGATCGCAGTTTTTGACATTACCCAAGACGATCGATTTTTCGACACGCATCGAATGGTCGTAGAAATTTGGTATTGTTGCACGCGAAGTACATAACCAACCCGACAGTAGATTGGTGTCTTACATTTTAGAATTAATACTTGTTTAGATGAGATTATAGATGGCATTATAAGTATGAAGCAATACCTTGGAAACAATATACAAACTCGGGTAACTTGTTTATGTTGCAATGAGTAAATCAATAAAAAGATGAATGAAATAAACAATATCATTTCTATATCGATGAGTTGCATTATAAGATAGAACAACATCATCAATATTTCTGTAATGCTTTTCCTTATTCAGAAGATTTTGGAAACAGCTGCGATTCCAGAACATTGAACAGAGAATAATTGTTGTTTTTTTTTATAACGACCGACAAAAGTATAAACCCATAAGACATTGTATGTTTTCATATTTCACGTTGTATATCTTTTTAACCGACTTCAACAAAAAGGAGGAGGTTCTCAATTCGAATGTTTTTTTGTTGTATATATGTTACGCGATAACCGATTTTGACGATTCTTTTTTGTTGGAAAGAGGACACCTCAAATTTAAATTAAAGAAAAAAATATTTTTGAAGTCGGTTTTTTTAGTACTATGTACTGAAATTATTTGTATAGGCTTTCAGGGAACACGGATTACTATGGTCTCATGCTAACTTTCGACGAATAGGGACAGAGTACTTACATATTATGTAGGGAATATTAGATTTCAATTCTCGTTGATGTGTTTGGTGTATGACGATATTTTAATTTATTTTCATCCAGTGTAGTGCCATCTGTTTACTCTCATCCAAAGATTACTGAAACCGTTTTCTGGTATACGTAGTATTTACCTATTCTAAGCCTAGATGGCGCTCTCAGTTACAAGTTTGCCTTGATGCTGCAACTGCATTTTTCCGCCAAAACTATATTACCGATCTATTGTTTACAAATATCTTTTTTGTCGTTCTTGTGTAAATATTATTCTACATTATTCAAAAGTTACACCATTGATGATCAACTGAGGCATTGAATTCTTAGGGCGCGTTCCCATTATGGTTGGACGACTGTGGCGTCTAGCCACTTCCCATATCACGACTATCTGTCGTGGACGTTTATTTTATCGTTGAACGACTGTCGTGTCCAACTGTGCTTACTAGATCATTGTCATTTGCATGACAGAATCGTTTGAAGCTGCGATTATCTGTCGTCAGATTTTTATAGTGACGTTTTATTTTTCATCGTCGTAACGTCAAAAAAGCCGTGAACGACAGTTTTAGCATATTATGTCAACAACTTCATTTAAATACACAAGCCACGACACTTCAAACATTAAAAAGAAAATTTGAAAAACATTTTCCTCCCAAAATTACTTTCGAGTTTATGGAATTTCGACTAAACGTTATTTCTGGAAAATATAATTTCGGACTACACTGATAGGTAACCCTTATGCTCTACCCAAAATTAGCAATGAGATTTAACGAAAAACTGGCTGTATGGTGTGAAACCTTTGCGTATTTCGTAGGGGAAAGAATAAAAAAAAAACATAAAATAATATTGATATATTGAAATGAAAATGGCGGTTTTTTTTTTTGTTTTTGTAAGTATTATTACGTTTTGAGTTTCAATTAATTGTTGCTTGTTTAAGCTGATGGCTCTATATAGCCAATGCTCAACAAATAAATACATAAATATAATAATTAACATTGTCAAGATGCAATCAATTGTAGTAATCGAGTGTGTTAGTAAATTATATTAATAAAATGATAAGGCGTATTTTATGTCCATTAATATTTTATTCATAACTTAACTATCAACATTCATTATGCCTATGCAATGTCGTTATCTCTATATTTACACAACACTGTACAGGGCGCGCGCGCGCGTAAATGCTCCACGGTCACTCGGTCTATCTAAAGAACAACTACAAAAATATCCCTTTTTACACGTAACCTAGTTTGCGTTTTGTAAAGTCTACCTAAGCTTGCAAACGAGTTTTATAATATAACGGGTCAATATCACAATTCAAGGAGTCGAGTTTGTTCCTCTTCACAACTTTCGATAAGGCACGACTCGAACGCCGCATTACTCATTATTGTACATGTCACCGCGTCGGTTCGGTGGGGCTCCGAATAGACGGACCGAGTGCGCCGCGACACGAAACTAACGTAATACTACTCCCGAAGGCGTCGCGGAAGACACTCGCACTTGGCGTCCCTTCGCTAACAGTTCGCGTCCGAGTCTCGTGTCGACTGTTAAGTACAAGCCGCCGGCCGCGGGGCGGCGTCGGGGGGGCGGTCAGACGAGCTTGGCGGGCGCCGGCGCGGCCAGGTGGCGCGCCAGCGTCTTCTTGACGCGCACGGCCGACAGCCGCACGGGCGGGTTGGCGTGCCAGCACTCGGCCACCACGGCCGCCAGCGCGGCGCGCGGCGCGCTCTGCAGCCAGCGCGCGGGCAGCGGCGGCCGCAAGCCGCGCTCCACCACCGCGACGCGCATGTCCTCGAACGTCGGCTCGGGCGGCACCAGCTCGTGGTAGGGCGGCGCGTAGGCGTCCACGGGCGCGCGCTCGCCCGCGGCGCAGCGCCGGCACATCTCCCACAGCACCAGCCCCAGCGAGTACATGTCGGCCATCTTGAAGGCCTCGAAGTCGCCGGGGTCCAGCCGGTCGGCCAGCACCTCGGGCGCCATGTAGCGCCGCGTGCCCGCGCGCGTGTTGGGCGCGATGTCCACCTCGTTCCGCTCGGCCACGTACCGCACGGCCAGCCCGAAGTCGGCGATGGCGCACTGCCCGTTGCGCTTCACCAGGATGTTCTTGCTCTTGATGTCGCGGTGCGCGATGGCCGGCTTGCCCTTGGTGCCGAAGATGTCCATGTGCAGGTGCGCCAGCCCGCTGGCGATCGAGTACGCCATCGACACCAGCGAGTGCGGGTCCAGCACCGTCGTCTGCAGGTAGTCGTACAGCGACCCGTTCTCGTAGTAGTCGGTGATCAGCAGCATCTGCGTCCAGGACCCGGTGCCCTTGATGTCGGCGGCGATGAAGCCGAGGATGTTCTCGTGGCGCATCAGCACCGTCTGGTAGATTTCGATCTCGCGAAACCAGGAGGCCTCCTCGGTGGTGAAGAACACTTTGACGGCGACGCGCTCGCCGCGCCAGCGCGCCAGCCACACCTCCCCGTAGCGACCCTTTCCGATGGACTCCACCATCTGAATCTGCTTGGCTACGGTCCGCTGCACCAGCAGCGGTAAACCGGATCCCGAGCCGGAAGATAGTTCCGCGGGCAGCGGCGCCGGTGACGGGGGACGCTTAGCGGCACGCCGCCGTCGCCGCAGCAGCACCAGCAGAGCCACCGCAAAGGTCAACAACAGCAGCAGCAGCGCCGCGCCCACTAGCAATTCGGGGTGGTTCGGCGCGTGGCTGCGCACATCGGGCGAGTCGGGCTCGCTCCAGGCTTCCTCGGGCAGCCGTGGTTCCAGTCGCCGGTTGCATAAGTCCGGTTCCATGCAGCAGTCGATCGCCTTCGGGTTAATGGTTGGCACTTGCGAGCTTTTACACTGAAAACGAGAAAATATACGTGTTAATCAATCAATCAAAGGGATCAATTTTCTGTGGCTAAAACAAGAACTACCCAAGTATCATCCGTAAGTTTCATTATATCTTACACAAACTCTTTTAACTGCGCTAAATTATTGCAGAAACCGTCTTCGATTTGAACAATACTATCGTCATAATGAACCATGTCACTGTAATTTACTTAAACATTAGAGGCCTCGATGTGGTTACTCACTTGCATGAAGCCCGACTCATCGGGCGGCAGGCAGCCGGCAGTGCGCTCGAGCACCTCCTCGCCCCTCTCGTCGATCACCATCTCGACAGCCACGAAGCAGTATCCGCCGGGCTCCGTGACGCACGTGCTGTTCTCTGCGCCATCGGGGCATGTCACTCCCGAGCACTCGCATATTGTGCCTCGGCCTACAATGAACAAAACATACCCAAGTCAGATATTTGTCACATCATTTTATAAACATTAAGTACATTGATATAACCACAATGTTTGTGGTTGGTTGCTTGGATAGTCGTGGATGATTGAAGTATTCACAAAACTGGCAACAACAAGAAACTCAAAATCAAGTTCGAATTTCATTGTTATCGCGGTTTATAACAACAGAAACACAATAACTTAAGACAATAAAAAAAATAGACAAATTCCTTCTGTTGTCTTCTTCACAGAGATGCTGAACAACACCAATCAAAATAAAAAAGAACAAATTGCTTTTGAAGAACCAAATACACAGCTTCCGAATAGGTACTCTGATGTACTGATTCGAGAACAAGTAAGCAATACCACAAAAGAAAACAATCAAAAAGCCATTAGAGGAAACAAGATGATTCCTACAAGCCAATGAATACAAATGTGAAAAAAGTGGAAGACTTGGCCACAAAATTTTCCCGTCCATTGAATGCAATTAATGGCCCGTGTCATTACGGTCGACAAGAACTACACCAAGAATTTCATGTTACTACAAATTATTTTGCAAATATGTAGATCGCAAAGTATGCCACGACACAAGAATAGTATACGTGAATATTTTGAATATAATAGACGATTTTAAAGTAGTCCTTGATTGAAACAAAATTTTTCGATAAAGCTGATGTGTATATAAAAATGCTTCTGGGAGTTTTATTGTTTATGGAATTACAAGATCGAAGTATATAAGAACTGGCCATTATGGACGCATGAAAAACTGGCTACCTTCTAAGGTACGACAATGGATTAAACGTAATATTGCGGCGCATTCTGATAAGAAAAGGATTTTACTTATCTAATCATTCTGAAAAATAATTATAATCGATATCGGAAAGTTATCAAAACGCAAATTGAAGTTAAAAATGACAGGTGCGTAATTCTATTTACACGTGGAATAAACACACTTTGGCGATAAATCTACAACCCTTCGCTGTCTCACTTGCCAGTTTATTATCTATTTAGTGTTTGTTACTTTTACATAATCTTCCAAATAATGCTACAACTTCTATGTATTTCAGTTGTTAATTCTTCGATTCGTTATTTTTTTTTAAGGAACATAACACAGAATATTGTCCGTTTTTCTAGTATACAAATGAAAATCAATCAACATAATTATTGTTTGTTGGAAAAATTACAAAACAAATAAAATTAATCTTATAACGAGTGCTTGAAATTCAAAATTGTAAGTTTATATTCATCCCGCATAGTAGATTTGTGTTTTTTGTGCGGTCGGAGCTACAGGTATGTAGCTGGCTGGCCGTGTGGAGTGTTGGACACAAAAGATTCCTAAGGGCTGAGAACACAATGGCCCTAAAGCAGGTAACTCCTTTTAATTGACATCTACACATGCAGAGGCCTGCTATTATTCTATTAGAATAAACGGTTTTTACTTCAAATCAATCAAAATAGACTAGACAAAGCTTTTGAGCATGAACAGCCTCAAATTTGCCACAGTCCACTGTGTGCAATATTGCCTAGGCTAGAACAGGATTTCTGTGGTACGCAGTTATTATCCTAACGCAGACATGACACGCGTTCTTATAATTGAAACTATCGACCATAAATGAGCCGTAGTGACTGATCTTTTGACAATTTTTCGGATGTATTTAAAAAAAATTAAATGGGTAAAATGGCGCACATTCGGGGAGGTCTATGTCTAGTAGTGGTCTACAATAGGCTGTTAATGATGATAAGCAACAGATTACTATAGGATATGCAAGAGATTATTCAGATAGAGGTAGTATACAAGCAAACTACGTAATTATATTGGTTAGGTAACTTTTATGTATGGAAACCAACTCGAGGCCTCGTACTGGGCCTCAAAAGGATTAAATATAAACAAGTTATATGAATGAACATAGTCATCTAGGACAAAAAGCTTAACAATACTTTGTTAAGTACCTTCAGTGAACTTATGGGGGGAGAGCAATGTTAACAAAACTGCGAGAGACTGCGCTTTACTTACTGAGATCAATGCAAGATAACAACAAAGACAGAACTGTGAATAATCGACCTGTTCATCCTTCCATAAAACAAATTCACCATAAGAAAAGCACACAAACATCACTCATCAACACATTTCAAAAAGCTAATAATATTCAAAATTTTTGATTTAGTTTAGACACGTTAACATAAAAGATCTAAAACACATCGTGGGCTTCACAGGCTGCCAACTGTTGGTCCGCTGAGTAAAATAGTGGTCGAAGTAACTCGACACCGCGCCCGCGGGCGTCAAGCTTAGATTTATGATCTAGTCTAGGTGTCGAAGGTGTCACGTACTTAGTCGCATGTCGGCGAGCGTCCGAGACGTGCAGGGGTGTTCCGTGCTATCATTTATATATAACTCTGGACGCCGCCGTCTGTCGCCGGCTTTATTTTTACACCACTGAGTTAGGACGATTCACGCTGTCTCGCGGGAGACGATCGAGCGAACGCGCGCTGCCCAAAGGAAAGTCGCGGCGCGAATGACGAACGGGCGGAGCGCGCGGCGCTGCGCCCCCGGTCCGTCGAGTCCCTTGCCCCGCCCGTCGCCCGCGTGCACTATGCACGCTGCAGCCTCCACATGGCTCCGGTGCAGATAACACGGCGGCGACAACCAGCGCAGCCCGAGTCGGTACTCACGCGACCCGTGTCAGAGACGCGTCGCGGTTCATTGACGGCGCCGCAATAATGCCAACTGTTTACACGTTCCACTTACAACACACAAACAGAAGCGGTACGCCAAATGATCCCCCTGATTACACTTACGTTAATTGAATGCCTACTCACTCCACTCCACAAAGATGTAACTAGTGATATCGCCAGATATCTGCGACTGTTTTTCATTCAGTTTGGAATGAGGATGTTTACCAAAAATAATAATGCAGTCTTATTCCCCAAATATAGGTAGTGGATTGTTTCGAGCGAGTGATAAGCAAATTAGTTTACAATGAACAAGGTCTTTATTCACGTGACGTGACGTAACGACATTGCTCGTACTAAATGAAATTTCGCGATGGCAGATTTCATGAATGCGGCTGTAATTTTAGCAGCGCTTGTTAATAAGGCCACAGTTCCTGAAATTCGCCATCTGTCGGAAGTTGTTGCTGTTTATAGCTTACTGCCACAGTACATGATTACAGTGTGAACTCAAAGTTTCTTTAGGTATATCAGTAAGCTAAAAAGTCAAAGATTGTTTCTAATGAGACGTCTATTAGCGCATTTACGAGCCTCATTTATTGTAATTTCCACACATAATACCTAGAATTACTGGTTTACGACAGCAATTTCCTCTTGTAGTTTCACCATATTAACGGAAAGGTATATGCACGAACAGCTTCCGAGTATGGGAGCGAGTCGAGGTGCGGCGGTGGTGGTCGCGACAGATTTGGTCATGCATCAGTCTTATCTCGAGTTGCTAAAGCCAATCTCGGGCCATATGTACCTCACATGCGAGCGAGTCGACCCATGCAAGCAAATTGTCCATAACGCCCGAGATACAAGCGACGATCGCCGAAATGAATGCAAATCCGAACAATAAATTACAATTACGTGACGCCAGTGTTGTTCTCGAGTGTGCCTTTGCAGTCAATTTGTTAATAATCGACATTATTCACTTAATATGGTATGTGGACGACTTATTGTCGGCGCAGTGTCTCGGATCCAGACGCTCCTGTGACAAACGCAAAAGTGGGAAGTGCTTGGTGATGAACTATCAGAAACTCGTCACACGGCTATTCAATCTATAACATAACGTTTGTGTTTACCGATAGCAGAGACCCGCTTTTAGACAATGTTTTAATAATACATATAACAGATTGTTAATATTGGTGTTGTCCATCGCTGCAGTGTAACACATGCAGATGCTGCTTTCAGTTCGGCAAACGGCACAGATGTTTCTTTTATCGATGAATAAATACGAGGTGATCGTTTCAATCGATTTGTTACCGAGATATACAAGTAAAAGGGTTATTGATCAAGATGAAATTGATGTCGAACATTGTATCCACTCAATCTTGTTTCAGATATGAATTAACTGCCCGCGGTTTGTCGACCAATTTGAATTACTCGATAAACATCGGAGCTTTAGCTATGAAAGTGAAATGACTTTAAACGAACCAAATGGCCCCAGAGCGGGGAGATAGGACAAATATGCGAGTGTTAACACGGTACGCCCCTTTTATCTGGTGTGCGATTGTCGTGACTATAGCAATTGGCATTTCATTCCGAACATACTGCGCTCCAGGGCGAAAGGTCATCATAGCACAGCGCGCAGGCGCCGGCGATCTATCGACCTCTCGGATTATCCAGCTCGATCGATAAGGTCCCGAAGGGTGCGGGTGGTGGGGCGGGGCGGACGGCCAGTGAGGCCAAAGAACATAATTTATTCGGCGGCAGAGTGGCGCGCCTACGATGTGCCGCGTCCCCCCGCCACCCGCGCATCTCCCGGCTCCTAACAAAACAGGATCCTCACAATTTTTTGTTGGCCCGGGATTAAGGAGTATCAGGTTAAACGCAGGTTATGTAATAGTTTTTACACACCCCTAATCTTGCGCATGTTTTTAGACAGCGACCGAGTATTAAATATCCGGTGAGCGTAGGTTGTTGATTTTTCTAAATAATAGGATTTGGAAATCCGTATTAAGATCATAATTGACATAAAAAAGTACGGAATTAGATTGATATACTCGTACAATGCCTAGACTAGTGCCACTATCCAGGTGAGATTATCCTAAATGTTGTGTTTAGACTGCATATATAGTGTATGTTCCCGAGCATAATTTTCCATTTTGTCTGCAAGCTAGCAGTCAGTGGTCATCGAGCCGCAGTGATAAGCGCGATGGGACAGCGTTTGCGCACATGTTTGCCGTCGTATTTTGCCCGATTACACTTAGAGTAAACATCTTGGTATAGAAACAAGTCTAGAAATAAGTCTTCGTTCGTTCTTATATGTTTTGCAGATTGTATGACTTTACAAGATGTACTTTTTTTCAAGGTGCAAAATCCGAGAGCTATTCGTAACAACATTCGTCTCATGTACTTTTGACGTAACGGTAAAATCACAGTTCCTCGCGTTAAAGATATACATAATTAACCTTTTATACGTTCCAGTGCTGGGCACGGATCTTTATGAGAGAGTTAAGTTAGTCCGCCAAGATAAGCCTCCTTGTGGGACTTCCCATGTTATCCACGAGTTGTGAACCTTCTCGACATGTAAGTTTCATTACGTTATTATTATTTTTAAATTGAAATATAGTTATTATTACGTTAAATTCTATTCAAAAGATATCCACCACACCATCTCCCACTGCGCTACCACTGATTTTGCACATAAGAAGTATGTGTCACATTAATTACAGTAAATATAACGATTAACTACAGTAAAAAGAACGACAGGTAAGCTTGGGACTTAAAAATAAACAAATATCTCAGAGATCTATTCAGAGGATAACGACTGATAGCAGTAGAGCTTCTTGTGGATGGATTCGGCCAGGGAACTGCTTCAACCACACATATTTCAGTTGCCAAACAGTAATGTAAACACTGTTGTGTTCCTTTTTGAAGGGTAAGGGGTTGGTGAAAATACAGACACGTGGAGCTCGTGAACTTTACGACTCAAGATGACGGGTGCAGTGGTAATGCCCCTCCGACATATATTCTCCTGATCATTTCCAGTTACGACAACTGGGTCAGCTCCTGTATTGATGGAGCTCGAGCGCTCTCACGTGGCACACGTGCCCAGTCTTATTAGTAAAGACTTTTTAGGATTTAAAGCTTTTTCAGTATCAGTAGAGTTTTCCGTGAAAAAGTTCGTCCAAGGAAAAACTGCCACCTTACTTATTTCTGACGCCAAGCAGTAATGTGACCATTAAGACGTTCCGGTTTTGATGGGTATTGGTGAAATTACAGGCACATGGGACTTGTCAACTGAATTGGTGACAATCTTTGCGATTTAAAATTCTGATAGCCACTGCAACTGCTTGTCTCTTACCACTAGGCGCACGACTTGATCGTCCCGACGACACTTCGTGTCATAAATGATACTTTCTATAATCCTGAAATCAATCAGATCATATCGGGTAATAAAGTCCACATTCGATTGCAAATGTATCACCTTGTTGGCAGAGTTCATTGAATTGTACATAGATAAGCAAGTTGACGGAGAATCAATATTTACAGAAAATCCACTCGTACGTTATCTTGTTACCTGACGTGAGAATTATTCACAGTGTCACTTCGAGAGTTTGTTAGCCTATGGAAAATGCTTCGCGTGAAATACTACTGGGTCGTATGTATTTTTTGCTTTCTAAGGGTCGTATTCCAGAAATCTACTCAATGCTCAAGTCAGGACTTGAGTATGATTTAAAGCACTGAAAATCATACTCAAGTCCTTGTCATTAGGGTCGTATTTCCAGTGCTTGAAATCATACTCACGTCTGCTCAAATCCTGACTTGAGCATTGAGTAGAGTTCTGGAATACCACCCTTTGTCATGTAAACGCATGCTGGGTCACAATTCCGCTAGATGTTTCCGACGATATTACAACTTCTGTGAACTTAGTTTTCAAGGTACAAAAAGAAGTGTCAGAGAAATTTGTCGATTCAAGTAAACATATATTAAAGATCTTGGACTGCCTACTGTTCTTTCGCTTTTTATATCGTATGAAACTGTCATATATGTCTGAATGCACCCATACTGTTGACGCGAACTCTAAAGTCAAGAAGTTATGAATAACTTCGTTTTAAAGCTTGTAAAACTACCTTCATGCATAAAAGTATATTTCTAATTGCATCAAAAATTCTAAATAATTCACCGAAAGTATGAAGGTCTTACAAAAACCTTATGCTAGTTAAAAAAACAATTAAACAACCCATAGTCTCATAACTTGTACTGTATGTGGGGCGCACTATAAGTTTCCGGAATGAATACGAAAAATTATTTTAAATGGTCCGAAATGAATGTATTGTTTCTCAAAATATTCTCCGTTAGCGTTAATGCACTTTTTCATACGAATGAACCAATTTTGAAAACATTTATGCCACTCCTCCGTGATAACCTCTGAAACATATTTTTCATACTCTTCAACAGCCTCTTCAGGTGGTGAAAATCGTTGACCGCGTAACTGGTTCTTAATTTTTGGAAATAAATACATAGGGCGCACTATAAGTTTCCGGAACTGGCCACTTACATACACAATATTTAAAAATTAATTACAATATTTGAAAATGGAACTCTTTGGCTGTAGAATAGAGTTTGTTTCATCTGACTGTGACTTGTTTTTAGATTATGGCGTTATTTTAGAAATTGGTTGTCTACATAACCATGGATTTAACTCATGAAAATTTTCGTAGTATGATTTTCTACGACTTTAAGCGTGATTTAACAGCTCAGCGGTGTATTCTACAGCCAAAGAGTTCAATTTTCAAATGTTGCAATTACTTTTTAAATATTGTTTATGTAAGTGGCCAGTTCCGGAAATTTATAGTGCGCCCTATGTATACAGT